ATTTTTTTGATTGAGATATAATACATTACTATCAGAATAGCTAGCAATCTGAAATCTTTCTCTTTTCTTCTTTCTGATTCTTTAAATTTTTTGTCATTTTATTTTTGGATGATTTGGTATTTTACAGATTTTAATAGTTTTATATTTGATTATATGAAAGAAATAAATTTGACATAAAGTGTCAAACAGAATTTTAAAAGGTATCATCAATATTTCTGTTACAAAATATTCACAATTTATGCTTCTAAAGTACCATTAAAATATTTTGTCTGCAAAAACATAAGTGCAAATAAATAAGAAGGGAATTAAGAAGATGATGGTTTATAAACAAAAGTACTATATAAGATTTTCCTTGGTCCAGGCAGTAGTGGTGTACACCTTTAATTCCAGGAACCCAGAAGGCAGAGGCAGTTGGATATCTGAGTTTGAAGCCAGCCTGGTTATAGAGTCAGTTCTAGGACAGTCAGAGCCGTAAAGAGATACCTTCACTCAATAAAACCAAAATAAGCAAATAAATAAATGTAAAAATATATAAATTCAAAGAACCTACTTGAGACAAAGCCAAAGTGTTCCATTACAATTTTGAGAAGAACTGAGTGATGACCAAAAATATCAACATTCAAACAGAGTTAAAACAAAAAACAAAGAAGAAATCAAAACAAAGTAAAACAAAATAACAGCAGACACAAAATATAAACAATAACAACAAAAACTTTACAAGACAGAAAAGAAAGAAGTCCAGAAAAAAAAAAAAAAAAACTACAGAGATTGCAAAGGTTTGGTGAGATTTCTCCTTCCAATGGCAGGCAACACAGAAGATATTAGAGGTCATGGTTTTAGAAAAGGACTCATAAAATCAGTAAAGGAGACATCGAAGATTTGAAGATTGGAGACAGAGACAGAAACTCACAAACATTAGGAAAGGAAGGGAAGTTCCAAGAAGAAACCTGTTTCCTGATGCTGTACCACAGAAGCAGCAAGATAACAATTTTAAGGTTTCTGTGGAGACTGTGGCTTGACAACTCTTATCTTACTGAATTGCACACTTGGCAATCCAGGGAAAGTATCATGAGACTGCATTCCCAATACTTCTTCCCAATGACCTGCAGTTGTGCCTAAGGAGTTTTCTTTTACTAGAACTAGGCACACTAAGCAAGGGGAAGATTTGGTAATACCCATAATCAGAAACACAGATGTAACTTTGCAGCCACTGCACAGGACATGCGGGAGGAAGTCCTTGAAAGGAGACTAATATTTAGACACCTATCATGATGGGATATCCAGCATCTGGGATCTGATTTAAGAAGGACCGCTGAGGATATTGAATAGCATCTTTCAGAAAAAAAGACATAATTCAAGACAAGAAAATTAAAAAAAAAATGATTTCAGCATATTTAAATCAGAAAGAAAAAGATAAAAAGAAGATATAAATAAACCCTTGAATGAATGCCAAAAGAACATGAATGGCTAAATACAAAATAAAAAAGTTGAAACAGTATGAGAGTGGAATTTATAAAGAGATACACTAAAAGCAAATGAACCGTAAATACTAGAAATCAAATTTCAGAAATTTGAATATAAACTTAATGGAACATTTCACCAATAAACAGTTCAAAGTTAGAAAAACTACTTGTTCTTGAAGACAAATTATATGTATTGTTGTTTTCTAAAGAATTATGTTGGCATAATCATCAGTGATCTGGATAGAAGTCTCATTTTATTTATATCAGATTGGTCTGGCGGCAAGTCTGTGGAGGAATTTTCTTGGTTGATGATTTATGTGGGGAGGGCCAGTCCAGTGGTACTGCTGTGATCCCTAGGCAGGTGTTCCTTGGGTGTATAAGAGAGCAAGATAAGGAAGAAAAATGAGGATGGTAATAACAGCATCCTTCCATGGTCTCTGATTCAGTTGCCTGCCTCCACTGTTAGTTCTGACCCTAGCTTCCCTCAGTGGGGGACTCTAATCTGTGTGTTGTAATATATATATATATATATATATATTACATATATATCATGTTGCTTTTGTTCATTGAGTTTTATTACACCAACAGAATTTTTTAGAAAGCCATGGAGTAAGTAGATCTCTAACATAATGACAAAGATAAATATATAAGAAGGTAAATAGAGAACATTTGAGATATTTTGAAACATATTGAAAAAATAAACACATCTATGTGATTACTCTAAAGAATGAATCTTGATAAGAGAGTAGCTAAGCAAATCAATAATAGATGACCTAATTGGGCACTATGAGAATATTCAACAAATTAGTTGTCTGTATAAGACTTCATGCTAAAGACATATAAGAGTTCAATAATCCTAAAATAGCAAACTGTTTCAAAATAAGAAAATGAGATGACTAATAACCATTTGTAATAACCAAATGGTCAATATCAGAAAACAGTTTCATATTGCCAGACAATATTTAAGGCAAAAAAACCCACAGACAAAGAAATTAAACAGAAAATCCAAAAAAAAAGGAATAACAAGTCATATATAATGAAAGATAGATCATACAAACATTAACTTCCCCAAATGGGGAATAAGACCCAAGAGGAAGGGAAATGATGCACTTCAAGCTCTGAGAGGCAACAGTGTTCAACCCAGGAAACTATTGAGCAAAAATACATGTCATAATTGAAATGAAATATATTTTCTGTAATAAAACAAGCTAAAGAAATTCATGACAACTAAGAGAGACTTATACAATGTAATGAAAGGAATACTTCATATTGAAAAAATAAACACATCTATGTGATTACTCTAAAGAATGAATCTTGATAAGAGAGTAGCTAAGCAAATCAATAATAGATGACCTAATACTAAAACTTCAAGAGGAAAAAAATGCATGATATAAAGAAACTTTAATAATTAATGGTATCAACATCGATCAAAAATACAACATAGCAGTTTTGAGACTATTAGTCACCTTTTTATTAATTGAAAGACACACACTTCGCCCTAAAATACACAGACAATATTGGGGTGAGTGAATAAAAGAAGTTATTTTAAGCAAACTGAACTAGGATTAATTAGGTTCCACTGTCCTAATATTTGACAAAATAGATTTCAAATCACAATTAGCAGAGATGAAATGGGTCAGTTCATACTGCTGAAGGGAACAATTAATCAAGAACATTGCCATATTAAATATATACATATGAAAAGGATATATCCAAATTCATAGAACCACTAAAAGGAGAGTGGTTTTATATATTTATTATAGACTATTTTGTAAGTTTATAATCATTAGTATATATTAACACCAACGTTTGCATTTTGTCTTGCTTTATGTATGATGGTTGTTTGACTATGGCTGTGAAAAATAACTTAACTAATCTTGATTCACATGAACAAAATAGATATTTCTCTTTGTCAAGGACGGGCTTTGACAAAATCACCTCTTACCAGAATAGTGTCATGGGACTTTTAGAAATATAAGGAAATAATATTAAGAGGCATAAAAATAACAGGGCAGAAACCAAGGAATAATACCAGCAGGGGATGCTAGTGATTACTGAAATCATTTGCATTTATTTTGCCATAGCTTTTATACCCAGTGTAAATGGGAGGTGGGGAAGGTAACAAAAGACTTTATTAACATGATCCAAAGGTAACTCACACAGCCAATGGTTTTAACACTCTGAGACATCAAATCATTAGCATTCTGTTGTCTAGGTAGTGAGGCTGCTCTATACCACTATTCTGAAGGCTGCCCCTTTCCAGGTGACCTCATTGTTACAAAAGAAGGAGCAAAAGTACATTTGTATATCCTGACCACCTGTCAGGATGGCATGGATCTACTTGAATGAGCTATTTACTGTTAAAATTACCCAAGCAACTATGTGCAACTATGCTTGTCCATCATTTATGCAACCTTCAAACTCTCTGACCATCAGACAAAATAAAAATGGGCCCACATTTTGGGCCTCCACATCTCTTAAAAAAGAAACTTTAAGTAAGAAAGAAAAAAATCTCTGAATCATATATAAATGCTCACTAGTCATTGCTGCTTTTCAGTTTTTAGACTGAATACGGGAAAATTGTTTCCCCATGTTTAAGAGGGTAAATTTTATCAGGACTCCATTTATAACAGGACAGAAAAAAAAAATACCTGAAGAAAAATGCAGGCCTCTCAATCAGTAAAACGCATACATTGGATTTCAGAAATTAGAAATAAAACAACCACTACACTGATGATAAGACAAATAAGAGACGTGTGCACCAGCATGCTCTGAAAGTTAGTATTTGCTGACTTGAAGCTGCCTTCTTTCTATACCCAACCATCATCACTTGCCAGGGTAGACCTCTGAAATCAGTGTTGTTGAATACATACCTTCAGAGAGGACAGTCATAGTATTCTAATGAGCTGACTGATTTCTTCAGCATATGTTAAGTTTAAGAAAAAAAATTGTTATTTAAGAATTTCCTAATTGAATGTTTGAGAGAAGACATTAAGATGATAATAATAAAGTCTTCTTAAAACATAGTCTTAAATTTTTGTTGAAACAAACAGCTGCATCACAATCAATATCTTTACTAATGTTGATCTTTTGACTGTAGAATTGAAAAATTCAAAGAAAATGAGTACAAAATATTGAGCACACAGACACCATAGTATTTTGTTGTCGTTGTTTGGTTCTTTATTTTTGGCTAAAGCATTCAATGTGGTTGCTTTTATACAAAAGTTGAAAGAAGGATCAGATTGAATTCATTCCTCCAAATCCTCCTTCTAACTCTTCCTATCTGTTCCTAGCTATTGTGAATAGAGCAGCAAAGAACATGGCTGAGCAACTATCTAGGGAATAGTTGTAATGTCTTTGGCTATAAACCAATGAGTAGTATATCTGGTTCATATGATTTTTTTTTTTGTTTTTGGTTGTTATTGTTTGTTGTAGGTACTTTGCATTTTGAATATTCTCTACAATGATTTCTATTGTAGCTGCAACAACTTGCAATCCCAAAAGCAGAGAATGAAGGTTCCTTTTCCCAATGATAGCCTTTGCTGGAGAGGTTGTGGAGAAAGGGGTACACTCATCCATTGCTGGTGGGAATGCAAACTTGTGCAACCACTCTGGAAAGCAGTGTGGAGGTTTCTCAGGAAATTCGGGATCAACCTACCCCTGGACCCAGCAATACCACTCTTGGGAATATACCCAAGAGAGGCCTTATCACACAACAAAAGTATATGCTCTACTATGTTTATAGCAGCATTGTTTGTAATAGCCAGAACCTGGAAACAACCTAGATGCCCTTCAATTGAAGAATGGATGAAGAAAGTATGGAATATATACATATTAGAGTACTACTCAGCAGTAAAAAACAAGGACTTCTTGAAGTTTGCAGGCAAATGGATGGAAATAGAAAACACCATCCTGAGTGAGGTAAGCCAGACCCAAAAAGAGGAACATGGGATGTACTCACTCATATTTGGTTTCTAGCCATAAATAAAGGACATTGAGCCTATAATTCGGGTTCTTAGAGAAGCTAAATAAGAAGGAGAACCCAAAGAAAATCATATAGGCATCCTCCTGAATATTAACCTTCATCAGGCGACGAAAGGAGACAGAGACAGAGACCCACAATGGAGCACCGGACTGAAATCTCAAGGTCTGAATCAGGAGCAGAAGGAGAGAGAGCACGAGCAAGGAACTCAGGACCGCGAGGGGTGCACCCACACACTGAGACAATGGGGATGTTCTATCGGGAACTCACCAAGGCCAGCTGGCCTGGGTCTGAAAAAGCGCGGGTTAAAACCGGTCTCGCTGAACATAGTGGACAATGAGGACTACTGAGACCTCAAGAACAATGGCAATGGGTTTTTGATCCTACTGTACCTATTGGTTTCGTGGGAGCCTAGGCAGTTTCGTGGATGCTCACCTTACTAGACCTGGATGGAGGTGGGTGGCCCTTGGACTTCCCACAGGGCAGGGAACCCTGACTGCTCTTTGGGCTGACGAGGGAGGGGGATTTGATTTGGGGAGGGGGAGGGAAAGGGGAGGCGGCGGTGGGGAAGAGACAGAAATCTTTAATAAATAAACAAATAAATAAAAAAATATTTACCTGCAACAACCCGTAGTATGAGGTTACAGGACTGTATTCCCAGTGCTTGATATCTTGGAAAGAGGGTCTTAGGCTACATGACAAACTGTAGGCTAGCCAGAGCTTTGAGATTCCTTAACAACAACAAAAATATCCATTTGCAAGTTCTTAAAATATGTGTCTTATCAATAATATCAAATTATATTTAAAATTAAAATGATTATTGATAAAATGCACTTTGATCAGCCGATGAAACTGTACATGTGATATAAAGCATTCTTCTGCAAGGTGGTTGGCGGTGCATCCCTTTAATTCCAGTAGTCGAGAGGCATAGTCAGGCAGATCTATATGAGTTTGAGGCTAGCCTGGTCTACAAGTGTTAATTAGTTCCAGGACAGGCTCCAAAGCTACAGAGAAACCCTAACTTAAAAAACAAACAAACAAACAAAAACCAAGCAAACAAACCAAAGCCTTCCAATCTCTGACCATTGTAGTCATCATTCATGGTAATTTGGTTCACATATTTTGATTAAATACAATTATTCCTCTAATAATTGAACATACATACACAAGTGTACACATACATACCCACACATATCAGAGAGAGGGGGCTTGGGAGAAGAAGGGAGAAAGAGAAAAAGATGTATTTAAAATCAATTGAATATTAAATTATAGCCCAATTCAAAATTTTGTTACATAGGGGTCTGAGCCTTTGATGATTTGACTTTCAGACAGGGAAATGTATACAAGATGCCCTGTAGAATTATTAACCTTACAGTTGCTGTGGTAAACGTCCTGTGAACAAGTTACTGTATATACTATAATGCATTTTTGGCTTGGACTTCAAGATTGTAAGTCAAATATTACCAATAGCCAGGGAAAGAACTTTTTAACGTGGGTTTGCAGATACAATATTAAAATGTTGGTTGCTTTTACCAGACCTAGTTTATATTTTTTTATTATGCTATAATTAACAGAAGGAAAATAGCATTACACAATACTAAGATTTTTAACAGTTCCTCATCCTAAGGACTAAATACTATACAGCTCAATTAATTACCAAAATTTAGCTATGCTGTTACATACTGTGATTCATTATTCCCCATGACAGAGAACACAATAGGCCCCTTGAGAGAGGTACAATAAAAGCAGTTACTTCCAGAAGAAAAACTTTGAGGAAATCAGAGAGAAAATTGAAAACAGCGCAGATATGTTGTTCACCACATGAAAAGGTCTGATCTGAGCTGTTAAGGTAAACATGAAGGTAAAGTCTGCCATTAATTAACAAATTAGATCCTATGACATTTCATATATACTTTGCATTATTTACAAGAAAACATGATAATTTTAGAATTTCTGATGTACAATTTAGGAAGCCTATTTGTGTAAAACTGGAAGTAATAAGAAGAAAGAAATCTAAAATCCAAAAAATTGCTTTTCCAAATGAGAAAACATTTTGACCACTGCAACAGAAACAACCTGCCATGCTATACCTGGCTTGCTGCTGTAATAGAAGAGCAAGCTATTGTGTTGGGAAATGAATCCATACAATAGTCTGTCAAAGTTTTCACTCAATACTAGCATATCTTCATCACTTTTTGAAACTAAACTCATGACAAAGATTTCTTGTATTCTATCCTGAGAAGACTCTTACTTTCTAATCAGTTCAGTAGAAAAGTGTCGAGGTGAATTGGAGGAGGTACTGAAAGATTCACAGTCACAAGGAAGAAAAGTCTGACTGTTATGAGTCTCCACGTTCACTGATTCTTATTACTAAGTATCAGATAATACACATTCTTTAACCTTTATCAAACTCTGGGGGATTGATCTACACACCTGTGCAACTGTTCTCCAGATTCTGTTCTCTGAAAATTGATTTACATCTTTAGTCATTGCTGTTAGCTGAAAAATATTTTCTTTATTTCAGTGATGCTTTCCATAAAAAGAAATGTCATGAACTATTTGAAATTCAATTTTTCAGGCTGGGAGAAGGTTTTATTAGTAAAATGCTTGCTATACAAGACTTAATCTGAGTTTAGATCCCTCGTACCTGTGCGAAACGCAGGACATTGTGGTAGAGATCTGTAATCAGAATTCCTAGTGGCTGGTAAGAAACAGGAAGATACAGGAACTTGCTGGACATTAAAACTAGTGAATAATGACCTCTGGGCTCACTTCCAGATTCTATATCAATTAGAAAGACTGATAACTACAGAAACAGACAACTGATATAACCCTCTCTCTATATATATAACATATATAACCAACTTGCACATACCTGTATAAGAGAAATGTCCTAATAAACACTCGCTAATGTATATATCTATATATGTATATATATACATTTATATATATATAACTAGCATATGTATGTGTTTGTGTTTATATATATATATAAAATGAAATTTTCTTGATTTATTCTCATCCTTGTCCTTGAAATTTATAATATCATTACTCACAGTTTTGGTTAATTGACTATCTAAATATCTATCATCAAGTATATATGTAAATATTTATATCTATCTATCATCTGTCTATCTATCTATCATCTATCTATCTATCTATCTATCTATCTATCTATCTATCTATCTATCTATCTATCATCATTATCTATCTATCTATCTATCTATCTATCTATCTATCTATCTATCTATCTATCTATGCCTATTAGATATATCTAATTATTTGTCTACCTATCATCTATCAGTCATATGGCTTCCGTTGCAAATTTTCTAAAATTCCACTAGTATAAATTGAGAAAAGGTAGCCATAACACTATTTGTAAAAAGGTAAAATATTAAGGAAACTGTTTATGCATCTCTGCAATAAAGTTTGTATTTCCTGACGACCAATATCAAATCTATTACTACCTTTTGATTAAAGCCCAGTGACCTGATATCACTAATGCCAATATGGGTGCTATAATTTCCCTTTTGTTACTTACAAGCACCAAGTATTGCTTACAGCAATGTATGTACCATAACTCTTGCTCTTTAAGGCCTCAATGCAGGGAAATGATTTTTATAAAATATACCCAGCAATTATGTATGGAATATTTGACAGTCAAGGACCATTTGCTCAGTACAGTTTTGTAGAGCAAGGAGGAGATAAACCCCAATTAATAAAATAATCATGCACTATGGGAAAATAAAAAAAAATATTAACCACATGTGACAGTTTGATGATTCTTCATCAGTAGCTGGTGATGAATCAATTTCTTCAAAGAAACATAACACATTAGGACAAATTATTACACTTGAAACTAATAATTCATAAAGCCTATGTTGTACCACTGTCATACTCACAAAGCCAACTTAATTCTTCAGAGGACAAACAGTGAGTCTTTTGTCTTTAATTTTAACAATGTTCTCTTCAAATTTGCAAGTAAGCTGTCATTACCATTGGTATTTACCTGGAAAGAAAACCTTTTTCCATTTGGTCTCATTTTGTAGTGACCCAAAGTATCTCAGTAAGTGAAATGCTAGTTTACAGGCTGGAAGCCCCCAGTTGGGATCAAAAGCCAGGTTCTCGTTCCAAGCATAGTGGCACATGCCTGTAATGCCAGCTATGGGTACAAAAACAGGTGCTTCTCAGGACACACTGGTCATCTAATCTCTTTCTGAAAATGTGAACTTTGAATTCATTAAGCATCTATAGAAAACAGAGTGAACAAGTGTTTGGAACTAACAAATATGAACTGATCTCATGCAAACCCTCCAGCACACATAAGTGCATAGGTGTACACACATGCACAGACTACATGCAGAAATAAAAATTTAAGTGGTATGATAGTACTTGTTGATACCATGTGTAAATTTTGAATTAAAGGATAGGCAAGTAATTCGAAATAATATTGAATAAGCTGACTGAGAAGAATACATATCACCTAAAAGACTATGTGACACTTTTTTTCACTTTGACACATAGCAGGCTTAACTAATGGTTTTCAAAATGAGCTCAAGGCTATTATCTAACATCCCCTAAAATAGTAATACCTGAGTTTTTGTTTATTTATTATATAATCACTTTGAAAAACTGTGACAGTATGTCCACTCAAGGAAGTCTAGGAGCAGATTTTTATAGTACAGTCTTGTGATGTTTGATAAAATTCTTAAATAGATTCGGTGTCCTGGGAATCATGGATTCCAACTGAAATCAAAAGAGCTATTTAACAGAAGTATGTCTCCACAGAGAACAGTTAATCCCCAGCTCCTTCTTAAAGTCTGTAAAAGCCCTTTAATAGGTATCTTATATGTATGAATGAGGTGACCTCCAGGTACTTTAGGGACATGGTTTAGGAGAGTGTTCTACATGTGAGAAATCTACTCAAATATTGTATTTCACACACCTTTTAATTTTTCACGATATAATCATAAATTTTTGACATCCAGAATTGTAGGGTTTTTGGCTCAGCCCTGAATCCAAATGTGTCAAGTAATGAAGAAGGGAGATTACAAGCATGGCCATCTGTGTGACCCAGAGCACAGAGTGCTGAACAATGGGCAGATGCAGCGATAACACAAGCCAAACTCCAATAACATTCCGAGTTAATATTATACAGTTATCAAAAATTGTTCAGAGACATATGACTCCAGGTTCTGTTCTAAATTATAAACTTTAGGAAAACTTTACAACCTTTTCATGCCAGTCTTCTGTTTCAAGATGTATGTACTAATTCCTCC